CTATCATTAATAAATCTAACAAACATATTATTAACTTTAAAATTATTTAGCTTTTTAAACATTTTGGTATTATATTTGCATTTAACCTATTATACAATATCCTATATACTGTTCAAGAAGAATTCATTCTATTTAAATCATTACTTTTATCATATTCAAAATACTTAACTTTTAAAAAAACAACTTAAATATTATTGCATTCTTTATTTAAATCAACTAACTACATTTGACAACTTATGCTTTTTAGATTGAAAACACATATTTACATATATAAACAAAATTTCTAAAGACAAACAACCACTCTGGTTTAATTATTTAGAAAACCAAACTACAAACTATTTATATAATTATACTTTTTATCAACATTTATACTTACCTAATACAAACTACTATAATTATTCAACTGGACACTTTTCTTTACAAAAAAAACTATGGCTTATTACAGTACTTAATGATCAAATCATTATTAGCAAAGCCAAAAGATAGCTCTCTTTTTTAGGAACTATCCTTATCATTTACTAGCAATGTCATATAAAATAACAATTTACTTATCTATATCTATTTTCACCTATTTAATCACAAATATGCCCAGGTTGCTCTCTTAACTCTTATATAATTGCTAACAAATATACAATCAATATTCTTATCAATCTTTCTTTTAGATTTTTTGGTCAAGTTAATATATACAACAAACTCTTAACTTTAATGCCAATTACCTTGATCTTATATACTCTATTGCAATTTAACATCCTATTCAAATTCCTAACCCCCTAATATTAACATTATAACATACTTAATTTCAACTATATTTAACTTATTACTTTAACAGACAACCTCCAACAAATTGCTAACTACAATGCACAATTATTAGAACTTCATTTTTATACAGACAGCTCTGTCATCAATCTGGGTACCTTACAATGCTCTATAGGCATCAGATGGATCCAAATTTTAAACAACAATATACTGTATACCTTCCAAGTCCAAATAAGATACTGGTCTTGCTCATTTAAAGCTAAGCTCACTGCTATTTTATCAGCTCTTATTATTGCTCTTAGAAACTGTACTATATATATATATATTGACTCATAGTCTGTAATTTCTAAATATTATAGTCTTTCAAACTCAATTCATACTTTATCATATATATATATATTATACTTTTCATTATGGAATATACTTATTAACTTTATCAACTTATATAATATTCATATTATTTTCACAAAGTTACTGCTCATCAGAACAATCAGTACAATAATCTTGCAGACTAACTTGCACATAGTTATTACAATTTGTTATATTTTATCTTTATGATCTATAATATTTACAACTTTGCATACATTTTAAACTTCAAAAACTGTTCTTTAGAATTACCTATTTATCACAGTATCTGTACAATATGTTATGCATATATTTATGCATTATGAATTACATAAAACTGTTTTCAAAAATAGCACAATATTTTTAACTAAGTTAATTGACAAGCTACCTAGCTATATATTAATAATAATCAAAAAATTTCAAACTTTTCATACAGCTTTTAGTCCTCTACTTTTAAATTCTTTAGAATCAAAATTTTACTAGCTAATCTTTTTACTTTATACATTTTACACAAATGATATCACTTATACTTACCTATCTGTTACCAATATCATTAAATCAGTTCTTACCTTTACTGAACAACCTGTTTATCTAATCAATTGCTATACAGCCTTATAGATATTTCATTATAATATATTTTAAATACTAAAACACTCAATACTACTTCAAATACTATAACTAATTTACATAATTAAATCAAGTTATTAAGTAGTATAACTATTCACAGTATATCAGATTTATCCTCAATCTTTTCAACACTAACAGATCTAATACCAAATAAACTTATTGACATTATTTCAAGTCCATTATCTAAAAAAGTAGCTACAACACTTGATATCAAGCTTTACTTTATTTTAACTAACAAATTTATTATAAAATCTGAATTTCAGATTGTATTTTAAAATCTATAGCTCAAACTTCTAAATATAATACACTTTTAAATACTGTTTCACTTTTATCACATTCTTTTTTACTCAATTCTATTAGTTCAAAAATAAACTTCTGGTATATTCAATGAATTAAATATCAAACTAATTCTCTATATATAATTACTTACACTCAAATCTAGATGAGCTTTGACCATTCTGGTTGGTTTAGGTTGCAGATAAATTAGTTTGAGCTTCTGTTCTTTCTATAATATTTTAAAACCAGAATTGTACTTTATGTAAAATCTTAATTAAATATTTAATAAAGATAGAGACATAACCTTATCATTAATATTAAAAAAAAAATAATAAAAATAAAAATAAATATATGATATATACAGATGGTGCAACAAGCTTGAAAGATAAAAAAGATATAGTAATAGAAAGTAAAATAGGTATAGGATGAGTTCAAATAAATAAAATATAAAAATAACAAAAAAAAAATAGTACTTAGTTTAAAAGAATGTTATATATTAATAATAACTAAGCAAGTAACAATATAGATAGCAATCCTAACAATATTAAAAAAAAAGCAAATAAAAATATATACAAATAGTAATGTTATAATAAAAAACATTAATAAAGATTTGGAACAAACAGATAAAAATAAGATCTTTAAAAAAAAAATACAATATAGATAATGAAGATTAAAGACCTTATTTTTTTAAAAAAATATTAATAATGAGACCATGTCTTTAATTTTATTGAAATTTAATTAAAGTTTTTATAAAAAAAAGCTTATTTTTAAATTACATATAAGAATAAAAACTTAGAGATATAATTATAACTTAAACTTACAAGAGTAACTAAGACTTGGATATTAGTAATAATATAGAAAAAAGGAGTATAATATTTAATCTATTAAATAGTTCAAAGATCAATTTTAATAATAATTTGTAATATTAAAATAGAGGATAAGAGTAGACTAGAAGAAGAACTATAAGTTAAGTTTATAATAAGTGTAGTTTGAAACTATATAAAATGTAAAATACAATATAAGATTCATATTTGTTTATATATTTGTTGGTTTAAATGAAAAAGAAATTTAATAAAAAAAGAAATAGTTGTATAATAAGAAATAGAAATATTATGTATAGTAAAAATAAGATTAATAGAAACTAGACTAGATAAAGTAAAAATAAGAAATAACATATATGAAAAGTTATATAATTTAAAACTATTAAGTATAAAAATTTCTTGATAAAAATTAAAAACAAAATTAATACTTATATCAAAAGCAGTTGTATTTAAGATACAATTAAAAAAATTAGAGATTAAGTAATAAATTATTTAAATAAAAGAACAAAGGTTCAGTATAATGAAGAGCTAATTTGATTACATTAGTAATAGAAAAAAGAATAAGAGTTATATTTGTAAAGAGTATGAAAAACAGGTCATTTATCTATAAAAGTTTTAATATAAAAGATTTTTAGAATAAAGAAATAAATTAAAGATTTTATTATAACAAAAAATATATAAATAGAGTTAGTTAAAGTAAAAAATTATAATAAAGATAAGTAAAACAATAAAGCTGATAGATTAGTAAAGAAAGAAATAACAAGTAAAAAGATAATACAGACTAAAAAAATTAGATATAAAGAGATAGAATACTATTTAGACTAAGAAAACAAATAAACTAACATATTAACAAGATTACTATACAAGTTAATAATAAATATAAGATTAGAAATAGAATAAAAAAAAAGAAAAACCTCAATTGAATATTTAATAAAGATAGAGGCATGGCCTCATTATTAATATTTTTAAAAAAAAAAATAAAAAAAAGCAATTAAAAACTTAGAACCAAAAACAAAAGTTATAATATATGATTAAATATATTTTTGAAAAAGACTAAAAAGAATCAAAAAAATATATTATATAACAAGAAGAATCAGTATTAGAAAAAATATATTTATAAAATATATAATAAATAAACTTCTGATTTTAGAAGAACTTAACAGAAAAAAACTAGTTGTATATATAATAATAGAATGTCAAATATGCTAAGAGAAAGTAAAAGAAACACAAACACATTTAATAGTATATAAAGAACAAAAAAATTTATAAAAAAAATTTAAAAAATGACTATTGTAATATCTTGAAAAAAACTAAAAAAAAAAAAAAAATCAGATTTTTTTATATATGTTATATATAATATTCAGAAAAATAAAAACAAAAAAAATTAAAATAAGAAAAGTACTAACTAAAAACCTGATTTCAAAAGAAACATAAAACTGTCTATAACAGTTTTTAAACATAAAATCAAGATAGCAGTTCATATATGTAATAACAAATATAACCTAAGATATATTTTGTAAACAAATATAGAGAATTTAATGTAAAAAAATTAGTAAATAGGAAGAAAAAGTTAAAATAACAGAAAAGTTAAAAAGAGAAGAAGAAAAAAAGAAGAAAGAACCAAAAAAAAAACAAATTAGCAAAAAGTAAAAGAAAAAAAAAAACAAAAGAAAAAATAAAGAAAATCAAAAAAAACAGAAGACAATTTTAAGACTTGTCATGAAGAAAAGAAAATCCTTTCATTATAGACTTTAAGTAGTTAAACAAGCAGCTTATTTCTGCTCAAAGTAATGTAACAGGTTGCATTTAGGTACCATTAAGGTGGCTGAATAATGCTAAACTTAGTTGTTAAAGATATTTATATAATTGCAAATGTAATTTTAAAATCTTAATAAAGTACTAGCATGACTGCTTAAAAAAAAAAAAAAATTCTCAAATAAGAAACCTTTTGATCAAATCTTTAAACATGATTGGTTTTAATAAAAGAATCTACATACTGCATAACTGTATTCTTGATATCTATATAAAAACACTTGCAACTTTTTTAATTACCCCGCTTTGGCGATCCCCTGATATAGTAAAGATCTGCGTATCTCACACATGACAAAGTTATTTTACGCGACTAAAAAAAAAACGTTACAATAAACAATATTTTTATAATTTTTCCGGAATAAAATGACATCTCGTAGAGTTTTAGGCGAGTTAAATATACAAAACATATCTGAACAAAACCTGTCTGCTGAACAAGAGCAAGCTAATGCACAAAAAAACAAAAGGAGTATCCCTGAACAAAACCTACCTGAACAAGAGCAAACTAATGTACAAAAAAACAAAAGGAGCATCTCGATAAAAGAACCCGGCCGAAAGATCAAAAAAGCGAAGAAACATGATATAAATGAACTCACGGAACTTGAGACAAGCTCTGATAAAAAGGCGAAGAAGCATGATACGCATGAACTGACGGAACTTGATAATAAAAAAGTAAAGAAGCATGGTATACATGAACTTACAGAACTTGAAACAATCCCTGATAAAAAAGCAAAGGTGCATGATGTAAAAGAACTCACTGAACTCGAGACAATCTCTGATAAGCACGTTACCGAAACCAAAACATTCTCAGAACTTTATAAAAGCCAATTTTCTCAGTGGTATCTCGAATTAAGGTCCGGATTTAATATCTTATTTTATGGACATGGATCAAAAAAGGGGTTGCTTGAAGAGTTTGCTGAAGCCCATCTTAGGGACCAGCCGCTTATTGTAATCGATGGCCTCTGTTCGAAATTAGATATTAAGGAGACTTTCATGCAAATTATTGACGGCGTTGATATTGACGTTGGCATAAAGCCTGGAACTCGTGCGTCTGTGGAAAAACTGACGACGTTAATCCGAGAATATTTTTCAAATCCTGATCGAGATTTTCAACGCTTAAACATAGTGATTCATAATATTGATGGACAAAATCTTTGCACTTCGCAAATACAGAATTGTCTTAGCATTCTTGCATCTTGTCCCAACATTTGTCTCGTCGCTTCTATAGATCATATCAACGCAACTTTACTTTTTGATCAAGATCGAGCAGCCAAGTTTAATTGGGTTTGGCATGATATTTCCGCGTTCCGAATTAAATCAGGTTTGGCATGATATTTCCGCATTTGGCGCAATGATCTTTTAAATTTGAATTAGCTAACTTTATATTTTTACCATACTTTCGCCCAATTATTACTATTTTTCTTATTAGAGATTATTGCATAATTTGTACTTAATTGTCCGGAGTGAAGCGGAGGACTCTTAACCTATATGCACAGTGATACTAAAGCTACGTTTTTGATGCATTCTATATTAAAACGTCAAAAACAATTCTGAATTTTCTATCCGTCCAATTACATGATCTGCACTATAAATAAAAAATATCAATATGATTTGCACAATTTATCTAATTTTATAACGATAATTAACACAGTTACTATTAATATTATTCTTCATGCTCCGGACTTACATCGGTTTCCGATTCCTAGTA